GCACCAAAAGTTCCACAGGAACTTCAGGAAACATTTCTTGACAGTGAGAGTGCCAGAGCCCTGGCACAGGCTGCCCAGGGAGGCTGTGGAGTCTCCYTGTCTGGAGATCTTCCCAASCYGCCTGGATGCMGCCCTGTGCCYCGTGCTCTGGATGTCCCTGCTGGAGCAGGGGGTTGGACTAGATGAGCTCTAGAGGTTCCTTCCAAAATCAACCATTCTATGATTCTATGATTCATGGTGCCATCCTTGTCTGGAGCAATGTGTGGGAGCAGGCGCCCTCCTCCACGGCACCCTCCTCCACAATGGGTTTTAGGGTGGGTACCGGTGCCCCGGTGTGGGGGCTTTCTGTGCCGAGGCTGAACAAAGGACTAAGTGCAGCAAATTCGGGGCAGTTTTCTGTCATTTCTCCTGCATTTTCTGGAATGCAAAGACACAGGACTGGCGTGTTTAGCTCATTCTCCTACAGTCCCTTCACACTGCACTTTTCACAGATTTCCCATTAAAGCACTTTTTTTCTTCGGAGATCTTGAAAAGCTATCCATAGCATAGACCAGGCTTTATCCTCTGGAAGGTATTTCCAAGTACTGCAGCCTATAAGGCCCCGCAGAGCAGCTCTCTCGTGGGTGATGGAGATGGTGGTTGGACTGGACACGCCACACGAAGGGCAGGAACATCCCTGCGGTGCCGGCACTGGAGCTTCCTGCCGGGAAGCRGGGAGGTAAGTGTGACCCTGGGCACACACACGACTGCCCTCCTACTCCCTCCCGAGGAAGAGGAATCAGAGCTACTCTTGCTTTAATGCCTATTTTTGAAGTAGCTGCAACAGTTTTTTTTTATTGGCACGTGGCCCCCATTTACAGCAGATAAATACTCTGTTGTGTTTGGTATCAAAAGCCCTCAGCTTCTGTTTGAGCATTGCCTGCTGCCTCTTAGGCCAAGCAATGCCCATCAGCGCAGAACCTGGGAAACTGCACTGCCGAACAGAGGGTGCAAGGGAAACGGAGCATCTGAATTACAGGACAAGCAGATAAGACAACTTACCATTCTGGTAAGAGCCAAACAAACCCCCATGGGAGTTGGGAAGATGCAGGGAAGGAAACCAAGGGGTATTGACTGCATCAAACATCTCCTGACCTTCAGCTAGTGGTGTGCAAAGTGCAAAGAACAGGGAAAATAAATTCCATGAGAGCACCCCTACAGAGCACACGTAGGGCTTGGGCTCTCCTGCTGTTCGTTGCAAGGGCCTTGATGGTATTTCCAAATGGAAAGCCCTCCTGGGAGGGTATGGAAAGCCATGTAGAGCTGCTCAGTGAAATCACGAGGACAGAAAAGCTGTGGTCATGCAGTTAACAGAGACAGCACTGGTGGCAAATCTTTACCCCTGCCCTACTGGATCCCAGGAGGATGAACCAGGCCGTCCCAAGAAGCAGTGCTACCTGCAGCGCCCATATCCAGTTCTCCTCTGAGGTATGTGCTTCTAACTGGAATGATTAAAGTCTGATGGCCTTCCTGTAAACCCCTTTAAAATGAAATGAGATATATTCTGCCAATACAGCACATACCAATAATGTTACATGAGTAAATTGGTCCAAGGCACAGTGATGCTCATGGAGCTGCACACACACTGCAGCCGGGACCTCTTCGATTACCCTGGCATCAGACCAGCACATGCCATAGCACAGAGGGTATTCTGAACAGTGCGAGGGTGCTGAGCAGGAAGCAGCACAATTCTGCTCAGAAGCAGGTGCAATGCAAGGGGATCCAGGCTCACAGAAAACCCTGCAGCACCCGTCGCTTTTGGCATGAAAAAATTCCAGAGCATCCCTGCAGTAACAAAGGGAGGCCGATACCGATGCCRTGTGTGGCACCACATTCCTCCTGTTCCCTTTGCTATCACCTGYTTTGGATTCACTTCATGCTCACAGTTCTTAATTCTGGAGGAAAAAACAAAGACAAAAACCAAAACTTGGTTTTCTGTAACAGAGCTATTCCAAGATCCAGACTGAGGTAAAAGAGCATTAAGGGATTGCAATCAAGATTATTGCAAGCAACGCAATGCTCACAGCCCAAAGCTCTCTTTGCAGTCTGGTGAGGGGAGGAATCTGAAGGTGTTTGCAAGGTGTGTTCCTAGATCTGTGCGTTTGCTCCTTGCCTTTTCCTTACGGACACAGAAAGCAGCAACTGTTCCTTCCTGCCAGCAGGTGGAGGAAGGAAGATGGGTTTCTCCTCTGCCGAAATGATGGAAATGATGAATTCTTCAGAATGGCCTCGTCTCACAAGGATACCTGCTCCTTCTACACCATTTACTGAATAATGCTACAGGTCACACGGACCTGGACACAATAAATAACAGCAAGTTTAGAATACTCTGGCAAAATAGCTTTTTTTTTTTTTTTTTTTTTTTTTTTCCACCTGTTATCTTCCCCCTATACCCTCATTTATTTTGACCACAGTTTTCCCCAGAGACTTCTCCTCAGATGCCTGGTCATGTACTTTTTCCTCTTTAAACTACACAATCCAAATCATATTAAAACACGCATTCATGATGAACCATCCACACTGGGTGTTCCCTCTGTGKTTTTTCCCCTCTGTTCTTCTCTAAGGCTCCCTGCAACCTTTTGCAACCACCTATCACTTAACACGCACCCTTTTGCTCCTGGTTCTAGCAGCGCCAGCTGTGTGCACTGCCCCGCACAGCCACCTTCCCCCACAGCTCAGCCTGCTGGCAGAGCCCTTGCGAGGCCCTGCCGGACACCTGGATCCCTACGGAGAGCCCAGGAGAGGGGCAGGGCTGGCAGGATGATCCAGCAGGAGGTGCCTCCTCAGCTCCTCTGCTGCATCTGCCATGGCAGCCCCTGACCGCTTCTCTGGGGGCAGAGGAGTGTTTAACTTTCTTCTCCTCTCCTCCTCCCTCCAAGTTATCATGGAGAAAGGTGTTTCTGTAACAAAAAGTTCTAGAGAAGTTTCATTTTGGACATTTTGTTTCAGTAACTCATAAACATAAAGGGTCCATTTGTCTCTGTGCCTTTATGATGAAACTTGAGCACCAAGGTTGCTCCTTATCACACTGTCTGTCCCACCAGGCATCTTCACTCTTGCAGTGCCATTTAAAATGGAATAAACACCCACCCCCGAGGACAGGGAGGTGAGAGGATGCCTGTAGCACCAATACACCTCCTGCAGGGAGGCTGCAGAACATTTCCACGTTTTTAAAGCTGAGCCAGCACAAACAGCTCTTCAGGCCGGCCCCTCGGCGGCAGCAGGAGCAGGAACAGCAGCAGCAGGAAGGGCGGCGGGAAGGCCCCGGGGCGCAGAGCCAGCCCAGGAGCCCCCCTTGCTGCTCACTGGGGCGCTGCGGTGGCCACTGGCACTATCAGTAGCCACAGGGCCCCCTCCTCACTCTGTCCCGCCACCGAGACCACCCCACTACCCAAACCGGGCGCATGGGCAGCACACACAGCTTCAACTAATGCATTAAATGATACGCACGTGCTTGCAAAATGGAATGATAACTGCCTCACCATGCATACTTGCTCGATTTAACAGTTTATTTCCTTTCCACAAAACAGAAGGAAAGGGCACTGGATCTGGGCAGGGTAATATTAACACTCAGTAGTTAAAGACGATCAGGAAAATAAAYGGCTGAGGGAACAAACAAGATACCACAGGCTCATGAAAGAAACCCTAAGTCCATTCCTACAAGGTGTAGAAAGAGGTGTTTGAAGACGGGCTAGCAATTTCTAGAAAGAACTATCAGCTAAACTGCCTACCAATAAGGATGTGTGGATCCAAACCACAAACAAGGCCTCCTGTAGCACTGCCTCCCCTAACTAAGCCTGGGGCCGGGCCTAGCTCAGCTGCGTGTGGTGGCCGCCGCAGGCTGCACCCGCGTCCTGTGCCGCCGCCATCGCCTCCAGCCCCTCCACAGCCACCCCAKGAGCGGCAGCCTCCACAGGCCCGTCCTGGTGCCCCAGGAGCAGCGCAGGCCCCATCCACGCGCGAGGGCAGCAGCACTGCGGCCTGCCAAGGCCTCTCCGCTGCGGCCTGCCAAGGTGGAAACCTCACGCGCTGCCTCACGCGCCGCCATTTCGCAGCCCATCTTCCCCAGCTGACACTTGTGCTTGCACAAAGTGCCCTTCGCTGTCGTGGAACACAGCAACGGTGAAACTCAACCCACGTGTCAGCTCCCTGGGATACTCGGGGAGCTCCTGTCCAGCCTGCAGTAAAAGTTGGATACTAGCTGTGTGTTTAACCTTAGCTGCCACCCACATCCTCCTCCTCACACTTAGGCTGAAATTAATCCCGTGTTTCTGTAGCAAGTGTCCCAGAGGGCCGGAGTGGCCAAAGCCCATAAGGAGCTGTGGGAGGAAGCTGGCAGCAACCCAAAGGTGCTGTACGGCACCAAGGGATGATGCCCAACACTGCYGCTCCACTAGGAGACCTCATGCGGGTCCTCACGGTGCCCAACATGAGAGCCTCGCTGCACACCGGGACACTCCTGAACACAGCCAGGAAGCTGCTGGACTACCAGGTTTCCAGCAGGGACACACGGATGGGAGGCATTTATCTACGTGCACAGCCAAGGAGCAGTTGCTGCTTTTATAGACAAAGCAGGTTTTTTTAACCCGCTTTTTCCCCCCTCCCAAGAAAGGTGATAACTGGTGGCCAGTGAAGACTGCTGGACACTGTTATGATGTGCTTGTCACACTGTCTGCAGAGAAGGGAGCAGTGACAGTGTCACATGCAGTTGTTTATGCTGAAGGTGCCGTCAGCATTTTGGGCCATCAGCAACTGCTCCAAGGGGAAGAGGCCACGCGGAGGGCCCCTCCTCCCCTCCGTGCAGCAGGACCTTGTGAATCCACAAGGAMCTTTTGAAGCAGGAGCTACACGACTGACAGGGAAAGGCAGGTTCACATGGTGTATCTCAGCCTGGAACACGGGGCAGAACGAACCCGCACCCCAGCAAAACTCTAGGAAGAAATCCTGCAAATTCCCAAGATGGCAGCATGAAGCAGAGATGCTGTCCAGACACGGAAGAACTGGCCATTAATTAACCCTACAGGTWCGGGGTTCCTACGAGCCAAGCATGTGAAGGTCAACAAACCCMTGTGAAAAAGATCTTGCAGTGTGGCTCAGAGATGTCAGCATCCGCAAACCTCAGAGAAGTCAAGGAGACTCTTCCTGCCTGCCCAGTCCCTGGACCACAGCCCGAGTTTCCGCCCTCACTTAGTTCTTCTGTCAAATATTTGTGTATGGACACTAATCCTCATGGAACTAATTCCAGGAACTCATTTCAGAGCAGGACAGAGCTCCATTGATCACAGCGGTCACTGCTCCGGCTGTGAYGTGGGAAGCTGTAGTTCCCTACCCCTTAAAGGCTCCTTTATCTGAAATAGSAACTATAGTTATTTCTTTTAATTCTAGTCTTTGAAACCTTTTGGAACCAAGCTATTCAGCATGGGGATTCTTGTTCTCTTTTTAACATACCATTTTCATGTTAAAAAGACAGACATAAATTCTAATGGCAAAGTTCATTGATAGAAAGCTGTCGAGTAAAACTCCCACCCCAAATCAAATGGATGCCAAATTTTGCATGAAATTCTATCAAGGGCCAGTTTTCCAGTGAAMATGAGGATGCTGCATATTGGCAGTATTCTGGGAGACACCACCTTTTACACTTTCTTACAAAACATATTCTTCACAAGTCAGTATTAAGTTCAAGGTCCAAAAAATTTAAGTTTAAATTAAGTTCAATAAGTTAAGTTCAAAAAAATTGTAATAGAACACTAATGCTTAAAACAAAATACCACTTATCCATTTAACTATTGATAACATTTACTTTCAAATATTTAACATGTGTAACCAAAATCCATTAGAAGATTTTCAAGGATATTTGTCAAACAGCTACTGTGTCTACAACCACTTCACTGTAATTGAAGTCTTGCAAGTTAAAACCAGGAGGCTTTTACATGTGAAATCAACAGGAATATTTTCTACACCAACCAGCAAAAACATACCAGCTCTTATTTATATATATAGATAAGGTTACATATTGCTTAGCTTTATTTCTACAAGCTATCTCCCTTCTTCCAGAAAAATCCTAGCTCCTATGTTTTGTGCTGTGGGGAGGAGGCAAGGGGAGGAAAAAATCTCCCAGGAATAGAAATAGGAGCACTAGCTCCAAAATAAGCAACAATAATAAAGTACTTTACTATAAAATAGTATATTCTTTATATTTTTACAGAAGAAACAAAGAAAGAACGGTTACTTAAAAACCAGTCTGGTCCTACACATCACTCACTCATTTAGACAGTTTCTTTTTCAATAGGAAAAGTTTGCAATATGCTTTTAACTCTCTGAGTTAGGACTTTTTACCAAAAGTAAATTCAATTTTCTGGGGAAAACAAACAAACAAACAAACAAACAAACTAATGGTCCAAGAATTAGCCTAAAGTAATCTAGAAAAAACAACAATCTTCCTGATGTTACATGCTTAGAGCCCTTACTGATAAGATAGAAAAAACAACCTTTTTATTTAAAATTACTGCTGAGGACAAGCAGTTTCTTTGGAGAAAGGTCACTGAAAAAGATTTGGGAAAAAAACCACACATATCATTTTTTTACATTTTACGCAAGAACCAAAGCTGTTAATCATCTGTTCTTCATAGGTTCTCATCTTTTACAATTTTCAAGTCCCAAATGCCAAGTATTCCAGAAAGGTTCTACCAAAAGATTATACACACACACACACACACACATATACACACACACACACACACACAAATGTCTATCATTGTTCGTCCATCCTTCCAACTCGCCGCCGTCGCCTGCAGAAAGCCTTTAAGTTCCATTTACTTGTTTCCATCATAAAAGGTCCATTGTAGACAAACAACACTGTCATCTTGTTATTGTAAGTTAGATTCTGCAGAAGCTAGGGAAAAAACATACAAAAAAYAGTGTAAAAATAAGAAGAACAAAAGGTGTTGCCCATTATCCAAAGATGACAAAGGCAGTCTACATAAACATTAGACCTCAAAAGGTCAATACAGAAAGATCAGTTTTACATTCTTTTGGAATTCATCCCTACAAGAGTCCAAAGAAACTCTACTCCTCCATCAGGCAACCTGTTCTAATGCATCGCTGTTCTTACTATGGCAAAATGTTTCTTCMTATCTAACCTGTACCTTTGCTCCAAATGATGATGTTTTAGGGGGAGGAGGGAGAGAAGAGATACTTGGCCATAGTTGTTTTGTCTCTCTTCAGTCTCCTTCTCCTCTGAGCTAAGGAATTTCCTCAGTGGGAAGCCAAGCTTTCAGACCTTCACATAGGCTGGACTGTTGTCTTCTGGAGTGTCCCCATCCACTGGGCTATCTTTCTTGCATGTGACAGCCCAAGCTGAACATTCTTACCCTTGTCAAGGTCTCGTTAGTAGCAAGCTCAGCAAACTATCAAACTTTATGTATCTTGCAAGCTATAAGGCCATTTGTACTGCCAAGAACAGCAGTTTGCTTGCAACTTATGCTCAACTTGTGATCTGCTAYAATTTTCTGCCCCTAGTCATTTAGGCATTTTATTCCCTAGTCCGGATGTTGTTGTTGATTGCTTCCATTTAAATACCAAGAACTATGCTTGTCCCTGCTTAAATGCATCCTGTTTTCAAATAAAATTATCTAATCTAAGATTGTTTTGAATTCTAATCTTGCTTTACAGCAAAGCTGCAATCTCTCCCAACATGGTGGTTATTTGCAAGTTTAATAAGCATACTGTATTTCTCCATAGGCTGGTATTAGAAACACTGATTTTCAAAGCAAAGAATTGCTCCTGAAGAACACATTCAGTTCCTCTGTTCATTTTGATAGTGAATCATGACTATTCAGAAAACAATTTTCCTAATCAACCCTACTGCATATTAATCCATACCCTCTCCCTCTGACATTTGTATAAAAGAGTATCCAGGGAAAGTGTCAAAAACCATAATGAAAAAAATCAAGATAACAATTCCTCCTGCATGCACAGCATACATAAAAGGAATTTAGATTAATGTGTGACAATTTGTTGCCTTATGCCATCTCTCACTTTCTAATAAGGGATGGCACATGACTTAGTCATGACACATGACTAAGGCTCCAGTTCTTTTTCCAGGAACTGTAAGTTAGTCACTGGAATTGCAGGGTCTAAACTTTCTCCTTGGCTTGTCCTCAGCAGCCTGTTAACTACCTCCTGATGCACCTGAGCTGAACCATCTCAYCAGTCAATATGAGGCCCGTCATCAACTTAACATGAAGCACGTGCTCAGTAGGGCTCTTTGTGGTAGCCTTTCATTCCAGGCTTTCTGCTTAGCACTGCACACTTCATTTTCTTCCTTATCTAATCTTAATAATATAAGAGTAAATGTAACTTTTAAAACTTTCCTATTATTTATCACAAAAATATGCAATTTTCTATCACATACCTTTGGTGTAATAAAGAAGTACTGAGATGTGCTTTCTTTACAAGCAGTTTTCACAACCATTTCAAAAACTCTTCTCTCATTGACTGGATCCATTCCCTTAAAAAAAAAAAGGACAAAAAAAAATCAGTCTCCTTAACTATTTCATAAGCCTCTGTATATAACAAGACTATCCTGCATTATYGATTCTTACCTGATTTATTTCATCTACAACCCTGAAAGGACATCTGTTGAGTTCCTGCAGAGCCATCAGGTACAACATAGTTGAAACACTTTTCTCACCTCCACTCTGGTGATATGGAGTCAATTCGTGGAGCTCAGTACTACTACGAAATTTGACTCTAATGCGAATCCCATATTTGTCATATTCTTCCTACCAAGGAAGCACAACTTACTCAATAAGAAAAAACATAAATGAAMGGAAATCTACATCCTACATTCTACAATTGTCTAAGAACTACTCAAGGCTAAACTAATATTGATATATTTGCTCTATTTCATAAACTTTCCTAGACTTTGATCTGATTTTAGACAGAAAATCTTTTCCACACCACTCTCTCCCCACAACAATCATTTACTCGTTTCTGAATCCCTTACAAGAAAGGTTTCAGATGCATTAATGATTCAACAAATAAATGTCTTGGCTAGAAAAAGAGGAGAAAGTAACAGCAATAGAAATCACACTGATTCAGGAAATGGATCAGGGTGCATAAAGCTATTAGCTTAAACAGTGTGCATGTGTTAGGGGGAGGATAGCCACAGAGAAAAAGAAAACGCTGTGCTCCATGCTCTGGGTGTCCCTGTTGGAGCAGGAAGGTTGAACTGGACGGTCTCTAGAGGTCCCTTCCAACCTCAACCACTCTGTGACAAAGTTGGGGCTTCATTAACAGGCTGCTGGGAATTAAATCTCATACATCAGCCACATACTCCATGGCCTGGCAAGGACAACGGTCACAACTCTCTGTGAGAAACTGACGCAGGTGACGATTATCGGATATAACCAGATATTACTGCATTCTGCTATGGAGGAAACACAAAGTTTCATCGAGGAGTATCTTCTCCGCAAGGAGGCCAAGCGAGGACCCAGGGGAGTGTTTCAGAGAGCAGGGCCGAGCAGCGGGGAGGGCAGACACCGCCAGAGCTCACGGTTCCTGCGGGCTGCCCGACCTTGGGTGCCTCAGAACTGCCTGGAGGCTCCCCTGGTAGACACGGGCCAGGCCTGGGGCCTCCCGCAGAGGGGCGACCTCCGGAATCCAGGACACAGAGCAGAGTAGGCGCTTGTCTCCATCAGTGTTTCTTGAGGAAGAGATGTTTGCCATAATTGACATTGCACCACTATTTTACACTTTATATCACTTGTAAAATCCTTGCAAGAGGGTAAAAACGACATTCCAAGAATGTTCCTTCAGATATTCAGAAAGACAATACAGACTCCCTTGTTTTTTAAACTGGTTTGAACTGTTTTTCTGTGTACTCTCTCCCAAGTTTTTTATTTTTAAATAAAATACAGTATGTTTAATATACATCTGACTCTGTAAGTAACTATTGTAAGAAACTGAAAAGCCCTTGTTTTTATGTACTGTTTCATAATACTAATTTCTATACAAACATTTTATGCATTGCTCATGTAAAGAGCTTTTCAGTTTGATTCTGCCTCCAGTAATAACTACCACTTTAAATATCTTAAGAACTGCTTGAGCAATTTACAACAGTAAAAAATGTTTAAGTGTCAACTTTCACTGTTGTGGAATGTATGCATTGCATAAAGCACCCTTGAAATCATCACTAGAGAGATCAATCTTAAAAAAAAAATCCATTTCGATTCAGCCCACTCCACTGAATGTATCTCTCCCAGCACTGGTTAATCTTCAAACTTTTGATCACAGGTGAATACTGCCTATGAATGTTACTGATAACAGGCTGGATTCGTACTGCTCCACAGCAGTCTAAATGCTTTAAAATAACCATATTTAGAACAGAATCAGTATAATACCAAATACATGGTAACAGAATAGCACAAAGTAGATAAAATCAGAATTAAATCACTAACATAGCAAATTTCAGTTACAGCTAAAATAAATATAATGCTTCTAACTAAGGTTTTTAAGTTAGGGAAAAACAAAGAGAAAAAAAACTAAGGCTCTCACTTTAACCTATCACAGTGAAAAGAAAGAAGCTGGGAAAGTATTCTGAATTTAGATAAATGCTCAGCTGAAACACTTGTTGCTTTCCCTAAAGGGTGCTACTTTGGTAGAAAGGATAAATATTTGCAGAAATTTAAAATCTAAAAAATATTCTCAAAATAAACCTCAAATGAAAAGATAAGAGATCACTTATCAGTTTTGTCTTAGAGACAGATCATTGTTTACTCAATTGCAAAAGCTTCCAAAAGTCAAAACAGTTGACTATGCAACTGCAAAAAGATTTAATTTGCTTTGGTCAGACTGTTCATTAGTTAATTAGTTTGTTCATTAGCTAATACATGTAGAATCTTTACAAGGTCATCTCTCTTATAATCCAAATTCACAATTATTATTCTGTCTCTAGAAATGAATAAGGTATAGGAGGATGCATGAAAATGTGAGTTTATCACTTTTCTGCATGAAAGTTGTATCATACCTCATTTTCTACATGAAGGTCAACTTCACCAGCACACTGCATGGAACTAAAAAAGTTACTGAACTTCTCATTGATTTGCTCAACCAGGTTTTTCAAAGGCCTTAGCCATTTTTCTTTGACCTAGAAAYAGAAATATTTCTGTAGAACATTTTCAACTTTTTCTAATAGCAATTAACTACAAAAATACCACAACTACAGAAGTTAACATCTAGGTTTAACCTTCAGAAATCTTGATGTTACCCCTCCATACATATTTATCTAAATATTTTTATAGTTTGTATACATATTAAATATACTTATTAAGTAGCAAAAATAATAACATATAATAAAATTATATATTTATGTTGCTCTAAATAAACTGTATTCTAATAAAGACACACAGCACAGAAGGTCTAATTTCAACTATTACCTGTGAGATATTTTGTTTATAGTTTTCCAATATATTTTTCTTTTCCTCTAGTTCTTCCGTCAGCTGTTGTACTTCTTGTGTCCTCTTACTGTATTCTTCAACAACCTGCCAGAATGAAAAAAATAAGCAGCCATCAAAATTTTTATCACTTCTAGYCTTGACTATAAAAATACCACTCCACACAGATTCTGTTCAAACACAATTACATAACTTATTGCATTGTATATCAAACTAGGTATGTTTCTAGTTTTAAAGAAAAAAACAATCAGGTAAACCACTGCTTATTTCAGGTTACTGCAATTTCTTTTTTTTTTTTTTTTAAATGTACAGAACACACTGTTCCTCTGGAAGAACCTACTCAAAATTCCAATAGATGCAGAATCTGGCATTTACAGCACATTGTTTCTGCTGTCTAGCTTATTATACCAAGAAATCTAGTAGAGAGTGGGAAGCAAACACAACAGGGGTGGAGAGGGAGGAAAGRAGCAGGGAAAGAAAGCAGCAAACATACTGAAGCATTCAGGCCTGTGAAACAGGAGGCCCTGGATTTCTCCTCATTCAGGAAAGCATCAATTTCCTCCAATGAGTTCGGAAGAGCCTGAAAAGCCTGTAAGAAAAAGGACACGTATGTTCTAGAGCAGTACTAATGAAGTAGGGAAGTTTACTAAAAAGAAACCAACCCAGACAAGATTACTATTTTCATCCAGGATCACCCAGATATTCAAATTTATATCAAAAAAGTTCCATCACAAACTCTTCTAGACTGAGAAAGAAGACAACACTGTTACTACAGACATAGGGTTGCTCCTTAGTTGTCTACCTTGTGCACATACAGATTTTTCACACTTGGTACAAGCTGGGGGCTATGCAAGCTAAGCTGTACAAATACTCTGAAGGCTGCGAAGACCTCCAGGTAGGCACTTAGGCCAGATTTCATTGCTTTTGTCTTGCTACGATAAAGCAATAAGCTAGAAGAATATGGCCCCAAACTATTAACAGAAGAATGTGGATTTAAACTGAAATTTATGACCAGATTTCTTCTCCTCTCTGCACAGAACAAAGCAATAGTCTGAGGGGGCCCTTATTTCTATTAGTTCACTAACTTTAAAAGTGCTTTTAAACAGTAAGCAACATTCAAAACTCAGCAGTACCAGAAATTCACATAATCCCTTAGTGGTAGACTACTTGAATTCAAAATATAATACCCTTTTCCAGAAACACAATAATGCAACCTTATATAGAATTTAAGAAATTTAATAAAAGTGCACCTTGTACAAAATTTAAGAAATAGGTGAAGATTCATTTTTTGTACATACAGTTTGAAATTCCTTTGGGAGATGTTGGTCTGGAGTCAGCTTGCACACCTGTCGAGCCTTTTTCAGCAGTTCCCTGCAGTTCTCCATAAGCACACGCTTTCTCTCATCCAGATCACGAAAACGTTGCTATTAGAAAAGATATTGAAACACATCTCAGTTAAGGAATCAGGGTGTACGTAATGCAAGGCCACAGACAGGAATGACATGAAGTTCCACTTCACTYGGAAGTTACAAGTCATCTGCATCCCTCTGAGCTGGGTTCAGCTGGGATGACATTAGCACAGCAGCAAGAGACAAGGTCACAGCGTACACGGAATCAGCTGTGTCAGGATGGAAAATCCCTGCCTCAACACACACAATTCCCTCTGCCTTCCTGCTSAGAGGCAACAGATAGCAAGATAATCTCATCAAAAGCATGCTCTGGTACAATGTACTTTTTCTCAACTAGAAACATGTGCATGCGTGTGTATGACTCCAGTTCCCTCCTACCTACTCAGAGGTGCGTGGTAATGCTAACAGTTCCTGATGATCTTCCGAAGATCCACTAACAAAACTTACATATATACTTACACAAAGAAGGAGCCCCAAGAAAGAGGAATTACTGTTCAGAACTGAGGAGCTACAAGGAAAAATCCTTGTATTGAGGGAGCTTTAAATGTGTTCCAGGCCCAGGCGTAGGAACTAACCTGGAAAGAGCCACGATACCTGGGTATGAGAGGAGAGCTCTGCAYGAGCACAGGCTGCAGGCACGGCCTAGGGGAGGGCACCCAGCACACTGCAGCAGCCACCCGTGCTGTTTGTGCTCTCTGTGCTGCCAGCTTCATGCACAGCAAGAGCTGGGTTCAAAAACACGCCGTTACCAGAACCCAGTGTTTTCTCCATGAACCTGTGTTTCAGCCCATTCTCAGAGGCTGTACTTAATGTTTGGAAGCTTATACAGAGAAAAACATAATCTGCATCTTCTTCAAACTTGGCTTAAGTCATAAATACTGCAATGTACATTCTCAGTATTAATAGCAGTTTTTTAAACAAATTTGTACCAAATGAACCTAAAAATTAACAGCTATCAAAGCAGAACAATTAGCAAGTTTCTTTCAAATAATCATTATAAACACGAAGGCAACTGTGCCAATTATCAAATGAACAGATGGGGCTAACAATCTTCCCTAATGTTAAATGTAGATCAAAAACACAGATTTGCTTCTTATGCACATTAAATACATTAAATACAAGAAGTTGCTAAAACAACATGAAGGTTCTCACTTGAACTGCTATGACAAAATACAAACCCCAGAAATCTGTTGTTGATAACTTGAATTGTTCAAAAATATGGAGCTCTTTGGCCTTTCCATCTAAGCATTAGCGGGGAAGGGAACAAAAAAAAAAAAAAAGAAAACTCAGAAAGCAACAAACATGCAGCTCTCTCCACAGTATCCCAGTGCCAAGTCCTCGTATCAGGAACATATGTGATCTTCTTTTAGATGGAATAAGTGCATTTATGTTTTGCTTCAAACTTAATCAGATATTTATTCAAACTTAATCAGATATTTATACAGATAATTTTAAGATTCAAAACTGCTTGGGATATAAACATCACAAATAATTCTAAGTGTTAGCAAAGTTTTACAGTTTTATTGGCAGATTCCCACCATGCCAACTTCAACGAATGCATCAAGACAGCATATGACCTAGAGAAGTGTCCGATGATTACACAGAAATTAATGGACGCAGTCACAATATTTAGGTAYCAATTAGTTTCACTGCATAGCTTTTGTCCAACATACTTATTTCTACTGCTGTTTGGCTTTTTGAAGGTCTGCTTATTTTATAAAAACACGTAGCAACTGTTTGTATGACCTTTCCACAGTGTTGTGACGGCATCTTCAAGGATAATTTTGGAACAAGACTACCTTAACACAGAACTGCTGCAGGAACACAATTATCACAAAATAACTAGACAAGAAGCAGGGCACTTCAAATGTTATCATTTCAAATTAAGACAATTTAAGATACCACATAATTCAACTGAGAAATACTGATTTCCCTTCCCCCCATCAAAGAGCATGTTAAAGTAGAAAACAAAAGAAAACCCAATCCTCAAAGTGCACCACATATATCAGTTAATTACAATGAAATAGATGAGAGACAGAATTTTACAAGAGGCTAAAGCCTTAAGCYAAGGACTCATCAGGCAGGATCTTGGGAAAGTAGGCTTTGGATTTCAATGTAAGTGAAAATAAAAGATGTACAAGAATACTTTAGAGCTTTCTTTTAGTTATTTTTTCACACCTCTTATCACTGGGATTACTGCATTAAACTGGGTTYGAATATTGCCAAGACTGACCAAAGCAGCCACCCAAAGCACAAGTTCTYATAGGACTTCCCAAATCTATGTGACTGAATCTGACCAAATAAAAATGACTACTGGGGCCTCTGTTAGGTCAAACACCTGTTCACTGCAGRAGGAGGTAACTCTTGCTAAATGAAGAACCATCAGAATACTTATCTGAGAAGCCCAGCCTACTAATCTAATGAAGATGTCTATTCCTACAGTACTCCAAGCTTCTATTCTCTAAAGGAAGGCAACAGGCACGTGGAGGAAAATATTAAATGCATCTCCCGGTGATGACACAGACTACTCACATGAAGTTCATGCCTTTGTGATACACTATTATTCTTCACTTGATTAAGAGCACAAATAACTGAAACATCAAACTAGAGATCTGATGTAACAGTGACCTTTCAAATAACATGCCAGGCTGGTCTCTGTCTTCAGGGACTTTTGCTCCAAACCTCCCTTTCCTAATTTTTCYGCAAGCAACAATACCTGTAATCTTTATTGGTTTTCTGAAGATATGCAATGGGCAGTCTTTCTGGAAGTGCAGAGCAGTCCAAAATAAAGATCACTAATTTTGCATGCAATTATTTTTGTGGATCAAATTGAATAAATATCGGGTTATAGATAAACCAACACTTCAAAAATAAGGAAAAAAATACCCATTTTTTTTTCCTTTTTTTCCCCCTGCAATACTTTGCAAGTTTGCCTGTCCRCTAAACAAATAAAAACACTGACCTCCAACCACCAATCAGTGGAGATCACAGCAACCTCTGCACTTAGAAAAAGAGTACCTGACTGTCAGACTAATTCTACAGAGGTTGTCTTTGTACCTGAATAGCACAGGGCTTCCTAATATGATCAATGGAAGAACTGTTTATCCCTCGTTTCTTTCTTCAAAGTAATGTCTTTAATTACTATATGAGAAAACAGCTATGAAAAAAATTCAACAGCTCTGCTCCACTCCACTACAGTACTTTCTGTGTTTGTCCTGATGCTACAGCAGGTTGGGTTTACTTATCTACCAAAGACTGAGGAGAAAGAGAATACTTACGAAGAACATTCAGGTTTCTCAGCTAGACTATGCAGTATAAAAACTAAAACCAGGAAATGATAAAAAGCCACCACTTTTTTTTCCAGAGCTTAGCTGCTTTAATAAAGAAAAGAAAAGTTTGTTTTAAAACTTGAAATGAAGAGGCTGCCGTAAGGAATCAAGTTATAGAAATCAAGGCTGAATATTTAGCAATGACAATACCCATTCCTAAGGAAAGGCACAGAAGTATCCTTTCCTGTTCCATAAAGCCTACACTTTAAGGCTTTTTCTATAGTGAATTTCCTAGCGATCTCATAAATATTTACCTCTGAAGCTCTCAGTTGTACATTTGCTGCTTTATACTCTAATTCTAGTCTGTTCTTCTCAGCAGCCACTGAAGCGCTCTGAAGAACTAAGTCTGCTTTGATGATGTTCAGTGATACGCAGTCCTAGATGGGAAAGAAGAAAGTGTCAGGATTTTCCGTAAGAGGTTCAAGACTGACAGAATTACTATCATATTTTAAAGAATGTATTTTTAACATATAACCTACAACCATGTTCAGCTCTTCAGCTCTTCTTTCCCTTTCAAATTTAAGAAAGGCAAATTACTAGTAACCCACATTCTTCAGAATGCAAAGTTCACATCTATTCTTATTCCGAAAACATATTTGTATCACCCGCAACTAAATAATTTATGCCTGTACACCAAAAATCATGTTTTTGCTCTCTCTTCAAAATACACTCAGAGGCAAGGTGTAAGAATACACAAAGCTATCTCAATTCAGTCTCTCAGAAGGACTGAAGGCAATTCTCATTTCCCAAAAAGATAGGAGAGGGTCAAAGTAAGATACATGCCTCTCACTGACAGTACAAGAGACAATATGTGAAATATGTGGCAGAAGCCATGACGCTCTCCTAAGTTCTTGCAACATTAATGCACGCAAAGGATCTGCAAACCGCCAACAAAAACCAAGTATCACACAAGCTCTGCATGACCACCTTTAATGCACCAACCACTTGGCATATGCACTCTCATGTCTCAATATAACTTCAAGAGGTAACGACAACAAGAGCAAGTTTCATTCTGGAGCTTTCTAGGCTTTAGCAAACCCCACCACCTAGTCTGACAATTTTRACAAGGAAATCAGTGCTTCTTGAGAGGAACCAGCCTCGGGGACTCAAAAGTCATGAAATTATTTCATCTAAAAGTGTAAAACAATGAGAAGACTGGTCCAGAGTCTTTCTTATGATCAGCATAAAAACACAGAAGAATCTCCTCTCAAGAAAACAGAGCACAAGGTCCCAGCTGCAGACTTAGTGGCTTCGTAGGGTGAAGGGAGTGTTAGCATCTGACCACACTAGTGATTCAAGGTTTGTGATCTTCAGCATTTCTCATTGTAACACAAAGCTTCCCACATTTCAACTTTATCTCCTCTTTGGAGAGATGTGAAACAACACCCCAATTAAGTCCATAGTGAACTATGACACAAAAAAAATCTTGGACAGTTTCTCATCTACTTAGTTTGCGTTTGGGGGAAAAAAAAGCCAAATAAGAAGAAAGTCTTAATGAAGAGGGATGAAAATGGAAGAAGCTAAAAGACTATTTACTTACAGCTGCACAAAAAGAGCTACAAGCCAAAGCTCTGCTGGCAGTTGAAAAGGTGGAAAAAAACTGTTTTTGTCAACTGACTGTAACAAGTTCATGCACATCAGGTACACCCTGMTTTATATATTTGTATCTTGAACATTCATAAAGAAAACAATCTCCCCTCTGTGCATTCATTAGAGACAAGAGAATGTTTCTGAAGTCCACACTCATGCAGGTGTGTGCACGCCATGCACTCYAGCCTTTACATAAAGTGGCTGTTTGTTCCACACAAGCCCCTCAACACCCTATTGCAGAAGCAGCAGGCCACATTATTACCATGCAGACACAAAAATCCCATACGTGCTCTAGGTTTCCTTCCCTGGCAAAAGTAAGTATGCCCTAACCACAGGTATGGGTAAGCTTCAGTCACTTGAGCTTTTAATTAATATAACTACAAAAGCCTTTTGATGACAGAAAAAGGACTCCCATAGACTTCAAAGCATTCACGAGGAATGCTTTAGGGAAGAACAGAAACAAAAGCATTTTGATTATTTTGATGAATTGTATTATAAAACATCTTCCTGGAATCAAAACATTTTGGTTTCTTCAGCATGTTCTAGCATATATTTCCCACAGCACACAGAGCATTAATATCCAGCTGATGCACAAGGGAAAAAAAAAAACCCTTTTTTAATAAATAACTTTCAGGCAAATGTCCTATACCCACATACACCTCTCCTGAATTGCTAAAAAAATACACTATCTCAGATTCAGTGTTCTAGACAGAGTAAAGCAGCAATTAAAATAATGTTTCGGGCAAGCTGTACTTCGGTTGCACTTYACAACAGCAACATGCTCAGAAGTTTACTTTTCTACAGTAATTTAGAAGTTTAATCATTTAACCAACCATTTTAACATGCCAGGCATCTTCTGCCATTCTTTGGCATTTTCAGAAAGGCTCTGGCTACCTGAGATGCACCCCAAACAGACTCCAAGTCTTGCTGACCATGGCTAACACCACACAGTAACAGGACACCCATGTGGAATAAGCTCAGCACACTGAAACCAGTCTCAAGGCCATACTCACCTCTTTTCAAGTGATAAGCTACAAAACACTGCATCATGCTTAATAACACTTGGCAAAGAAATACTATACATGTTCACAGTGGTAATTACAACAGTACCAGTTCTTGATGAGCACCAAAGCACCAGCAGCAGCCACTGAAAGTAAAGGTAACTCTCTCTCTCACATTCCTTAGTTATTGATAATACAAACTAAGATAATTTACCTAGTGTCAGCTCCCATTATAAGGTCTTACAACAACAGTCTAAAAAACCCCTAAAGTTCAGAACTGTTTATTTATTTATGGTAGTGGGGGAGGTGGAAGGTGAGTTGAAAAAAGACTGAGAAACAGACAGGCAGACATAGACAAAACAATGTCACTCATGATGCTGGACCTTAAGAGCTGGGTCCTTTTCCCATTCTATCTGCCATTTCGCAATCATGGACACTTACAGTGATAAGTCAGTTCTTCCTGAGATACTCAGTTAAAAATGAATTACAAAAACAAAATACGTAAAAACAAAATACTATATCTAAAAATATCAACGAACAAAAGAGTCAGATAACAGGAATTATTTCCTAATTATCAAATAACAGCACTCTTCTGTGGGGAGTACCTTCCATATTTTTAGAATGAGGATTAAACGCTACTCTTTCTCCAACAGAAGCAAAGAAATTGAGATATGAACCAAGAAGCAGCAAAAGGTGTACAGAAACAAGAAGCATTCTGGAAATGTACGGACTGAAAAAGTTACACAGATCACAAATGTACTTACTGGATCACTCTATGGAGTGGAAGATTTCAATAAGCAAAAGCATAAATCAAACGAAAGAAACGCTATACAAACTGAGTTAACAATAGATGAAGACGTTCAAAAAAGCTTTCAAAAATCTTTCCTCAAGCCAGTTAGTTCATTAATTTTTACATTACATATATTATATATATATAATATCATATATAGATTATATATATARTTATATATAAATTTTGCATGCCTTCTAGTTATGCTACAAGAATTGGTCTTTTCCCAACAGGGGCTCACTTATATAAAAATAAACAAACAAAAAATATATACCTTTATGAGATGCATTAATTCTGTAACAAGCCTTGCTTTCTGGGCATTTATTTCTTTGATCTGCATATTTGCTTTCTGAGACTCATCTTCTAGATTGATAGCATCTTGCTCCATCTCTCTTAAACTATAGGAAGAAACAATACATTGTTAATCTTGATTTTTAACAAAAAAGAAAAAGTATAGAGATACCCAAATTCTTAATTTCAGTTGTRATACATAAGTTGTGATACATACCCAACTTGTGATACAGTTGTCAATTAGCAAGAAATAGAATTTGAATTCGCATTTCTAAATATTTTAGACATATTAGAGAACTAAATTTTAAATGCATGAAGTTCAGAAAACAAAAAGGCATAATTAAAGAAAACCTACTAAAGTGTACTAAAGCGTACTAAAAAGCAGGCACTCAGTAACCACAATACCTTATTTTTGTTCATTTCAGAATTTTAAAAAACAAATCAGTGCCAAGGTAGCGTTTTTCTTCTTTTCTTATTTCCTTGAAACAATTCAAGGGGGTATCTGGATTGATAAAGCTCAGGTTAATCAACTGTGCTCTTCAGGGAGATGCAGAGCCCTGGAAACGTTCACAAACGGCCCAAAGCACAATTCAGGAAACTACTGACCAGTCAACTTTACTCCCTGCAAAAGTTAYGGAGCGAGAACAAATGCGGGATGTTTCCGCTGGGAAGGCAGAGCAGTGCTCCTGGCAGTGATACAGGCTGCGCACAGGCTGGCTGGGAGCAGGTCTATGAGGAACGAGCCGGGATCTTGGTGGGAGCTGACAGATCCGGAGTCAGCAGTGAGCCCTGGCACCCACCAGCACCCAGCACCACTCTGCACTGTATGGGCACAAGTGGAGCCAGCAGCTTGAGGAAAGTCACCACCCTCCTCTGCTCTGCACTCACTAGGCTGCATCTGCACCCTGAGCCCATCTCACCCCACACCAGATACATCAGCAAACGCTGAAAAGCTGGAGCAAGCTCAGTGATGGGACACCAAGGTGCTGGGAGGCTGCAGCACACATCTGAAGGGAAGCTGGGAGAGCTCAGCTTGCTCAGCCTGGAGAAAAGGTGGCTTAAAGGGGCCAACCTAGTAGCAAACCCCCAGTTCCCACGTGGGTTCTGAGAGAACACAGGGGTGGGATGGGGGAAGGATGAGACACCACAAGCAAGAACAAGTGAAAACAAGAGAGGTCCAAGCTGGATGTCTGGACATACTTTTCCCTCCACGAGGGCAGTCAGGCAGCAGAGCAGGTTGCCAAAAGAGGCTGCACAGTCTCCACAGAAGTTTGTGGATACAAAATGAAACAAAATAAAGGCCTGAGAAACTTGATTTGAGTTCTTGATTCTTGATCCTACTTTGAGTAGGTGGACTTCGTGGACTAAAGAAATCTGAAAGTCTACCCCAAAATCCGTGATTATGTCATTGTACATTAACTTCAAAATTAAGTTCCAACTTTACGTAGAAATTTTTATATATGAAATAGAAATCTATTATGTCTAAGAATGGTTATATTCACTACAAGGAATATTTAATCTGACTTCTATCTCTACAGAAAAGACATCTACATTATAACAACACATCTCCTAAGAGCCTTCTCTGTCATTGTGTCAGCAGTCTTTTCCTTGCTTTAAAATTAAAGAATGAAATTATACCTTTCTGGGTGAAGATTTAATCAAATATTGAGGCAGTTTAGGCAGAGAGTTCATCTCTCTCCTACCTTCAAACTATCCTTGTAAAACAACACAACAATAAAGCAAGTATACCTGTATCTGTAACAAACCATATAGCAAACACTACAGGCTTGGAGGTTAAGCTCACATCACACTGTTTGAGGCTACCACTCTTCACAGCAAACTGGATTATTACAGTAATCTCTGTGGGACGTTGTTAAACAATCTCTCAATTTCCAAACATCCTTTTTATCTTGATCATCACATACATCTGAAGTTCAACTGCTGATTACTCTTTAAGAGTAAAAGCACAACACAGTACAAGGACCTATCAAAACTGCTCTTGTCTCATACACAACACTGTTTGTCTGAACTCCTACCTGTCATGCTTCACAGCAATTTTTGATTCTAACTGTCTTCTTTTGTTTCCTCTCTCTAAAAGCTCCTTCTTCTGTTGTCTAAGTTCATTGTCTCTTCGTTCCACATGTTTCTGCCTTTCAAACAATGTAGTCAACTGCACATCCAATGACTGCAGGATATTCTTAATTTCCTGAAATTGAAGTGTTAGAAATCACACCATTAGCATTCCTACTTTTCTGATACCACCCTAACATATGCAAACAGGTTGTGTTTATTTGGCAGTTAAATTGGTAGCTGTGCATATCATACTCGACACCAAAATAAATTTCTACCTGTTGCTGGCTTTCCAATTGTCTTCTTTCATCTGTATCCACTGAAATAGTGAGAAACTGTGCTGCCTTCAGGGATGTATTGCTAGAGAGAGTTTGGTTTGTATAAGCAGATACTTTAACAATGTATTTTTCCTCTGCTGTATAGATTTGCCTAAATTTGGTTTCATGTATGACCTAAAAAAAAAAAAAAAAAGACAAAAGTGATAGGGCAATGCTTTTCAGAAAAAAACAAACAAAACAAAACAAAGAACCTAGCTGCAATCCAAAATAAAGAACTCAAGATCATACAACTCTCTGAATTGTTAACATATCTTCATAAAAACTGATGAAAAGTTTAATACATCAATGTACTTGCAATTTAGGTCAGCCAGCAAAAAGATTTTAAGATACTGTCATACAGAATATATTGCCATTAGCAATAAACAATTAAACAGCTTTCTATTACTCAGATAGATGAGTTACTTCTAACCCTATTATAGGATTTTACCATTTTCTATTAAGAATATTACAGACACAGACGTTGGTAAGGCCTATTAATGAATACTGCATCTTGAACAAGAATTATATTGGGCATASATTATAGACAAAGGTAGCCTGTATACCTCTGAATCTCAAGTACTTAAAAACTGAATTAACTGAATTGTCAAGTAAGTTGTAAAGCATAAACTTTGTTCAAACAACTGTACTGCAGTAAAAATGGTTTAACATATTTTTATTTTTAGATGATTTTAAATATTACATATAACAAAGGCTTTTATCATAATCCAAGGTATTGCAGTACTTCAGAGGATAAAAACTCTCCAACAGCTCAGGAAGAGTAAAAACACTTTGTAAGACAAAATAAATCTGACTGGTGACTTCCTTTTTCCCTGTGTTATCAACCCAACACCTGCAATATTCTGTTGATATGGTTTCTGGACACTGGAAGCTCTATTGAATCTCTTGAATCTCTATTGAATCTGGAAGCTTTGCTTTGCTTTGCTTCACAGCTCATTCTGGAGTTGAGAACACTCTTAGCCCATTCACATGCTCAGCTTTACAAAAACATCTCTCTGTCAAACTAAAGCTTTCCAGGTTTGAAAAAAAATGTTAAAAATAATGCATTCTTCAACATAAAGTAATAAAAGCTAAAAGAAAAAACACAACTGCACTGAGAAAGTGTCATGCACAAAATATTTAGGAGAGTGGCTTATCTTTCCTCTAGATCAGTGATTTTCCATTTGCTTCCTCTAGAGCTCTGAAAAGAATGGGGTGCCTAAGGAGTAACTTTGAATTGGTCACAAAATACATCTCAAAGACACAGGTTTCTGCTTTATCCTGCGACAAACAGAAAGTGCTGAAAGAATTACAGTTCTAAGAGAAAAATGCATAGATTGGCTTTTTTCCGCCCCCCCAGAAGAAAAGCATTTTCCTCTAGGATTCTCTCCAGTTTAACTTTTCCTCATTCTTAGAGCATAAGAAATACTGAGTGCAAGAAGGAGGAACAGTTAGCCCAACAGAACAGAATTTGCTCACTGTATAAAGATCTAATAACCTAAATTTCTCAAAACCACAATTCATTCCTTTCATAGAGCCCTCCTCCACTTGGGAGAGTTTACTCTTAGTGCAAGATAGACGGCAGCTATTAGACAGAGGCAGTAGTACAGATAGAGAAGTGAATAAAGATTTAAGTAGATACCTGCTATGTCCGTCACCCACCCAGCAATGATTAGCTCTTGAGGACCCAAGAGAAAATGATACCCCACCAGGAGCTCTCAGCCTGTTTCTAAGAATTTTAAARTTTCTATATAGTACCCATCACAACAACTCATGACTGAAGTTACACAGCCGAACGGGTTAGAAATTGAAGAGCATATGCATTAAACAACTCTCTGTAATTGCTGTTTTAAACACTAGAAAGAAGAAAAATAAAACAGGAGAACAAACAAACAAAACCCTGCAGTTTGTTCCCCTTGTGCACAAAATACTCCTTTGCACTTTTTTTCAGGCTGACAGTATCTTATACTATTGTTTTATTAGAACTTTATCCAGAATATTTCAGGCACTTACAAAAAGTCTGAGCTCTAAAAGATGACCAGTGCTTTTATTATAATTAAAAAACTTCGCACAATTGACTTGGAGTGCATGTAGACCAAATATTTCCTGAGAAATTTCCTGCAGTAGAGAGACTGGATTTGTTAAGATATCTTATAAAATGCTTTTGTGTAGTCAACTGTTCTCATTTAGAAACCACAAATAAAGGGCCCTAAAATTCTGCATTCTTCAAGTTACCTTGCCGAAGAATTTTTCTAAGCAAAACTCTAGATGGTCAGTGTGTTTGTGCTATTTAGAACATCTCACCCTTTCAATCATGTTCCTGGTCTTCTCTGTGCCAACAGGGACATCATGAACACGATACTGGAAGCAAAGATAACTCATCACAGGACGAGGAGCATCAAATAACTCTCGTAAGTATGAGAAAAATCCATATCGGCTAAAGAGGAGAAAAAAAGTGAGTATCACAAATAATATCTGTTAAACAGGGAAGCTGAAGTTACTGAAGCATCGAAAAAAATCCCACTAATCCTGAACCCATTTAGTAATAATTTGCTTTGCAATGAAAATCCTAATGCATAGCAGTGACAATGAAGTATTAAACTTAAAACCATTTCCACCYAGTAATTTGATACTTACTGTAGTTCTTCAATAGGTCTTGAAGGCTTGGCTTCAGCAAATGACTCAGCAGGTGCACACACAGCATTCACTTTCAGCTTCCGATGATCGCGCATCTAAAGACAGACTACACTAGACAACTTGGCTAAGGAGAACRTGTGAAAGAAGAGAAAAACACTACCTGGAAATAAAATACTTGTTGAAGAAATCACAATGTTGAACTGATTTAAGCCATACAAAAAGTCACAAAAAATACAAACCGGTTCAGAAACAACTGAGTTCTCTGAAAGCCARGCTCAGTTAATACTAGTAAGAATAAAAGCAAACCAAAGAAATCCACAGCCTGGTGTTCAAGGTAGGTAACTAAGGGGTATCCTAATGTGCATGCACATAATAAGGAAGGCTTCTCTCTTTCAGGCTGTATGGTCAGTTTGCACAAAAGAAGAAAAAACAGGGCAGATGAGTGGCTAGAGAGGCTCTGTAAAACCTAGTGTTAACAGGGCTGAACAGATGTTTGATTTACACTACAGATCAGTTTGGCCTTTTAAAGCAGCCCTGCACTGCATCCCACAGTAACACAGTCAAGTAGAGSCCCCACAACCTCAGATGGCACTATGACCGCCTTGTACAATCACAACAAGCTTTTGCAAAAGGCAGACAGCATTTGAAAAACACAGGACAGTTTGYCACTAGCTATGCTCTGCCTGTGGATGGCACTTGGGAAGAGCCACGACAGCTAACGCTGCATCTCACACCTTTCTCTAAGTCACCTGTCTGTCAAAGGGAACAATCTGCCTTTCCTCATCATTCCAGGGAACAGCAGCATTAGGAAAAAACAACCCTGGTTTCCTGCTTGGACCACTGTCTTCTCCTAGAAGATGCCGTCTTCTCTCTTTTAATCAGTAGGCACTCGAAATGCTTGGTACTTAATTAGCAGTTCTTTGTCTTTTTTTTCTATKGTTTTTGTGAGAATTTTTTCTCTTCAGAAATTGTTGCCTTGTCAAGCCAGACAGAACTATTTCTGGAAGAAAAAATGTTCTCCATTTTCCTGATCCTTCTAGTTGGTCTAGACTTTGAAAAATCTTGTATATAATTAAAGCAAAAGAAAGTCTCTGACTACTTTCTATTAACCATTATGCTGATCCTACCTGGAAAATTAATTTAAAAGAAAATGTTAATATATATAGACCTCAAGCTATAGGGCTCCTATACCAATTTTAATCAACTTTTAAAATCTGAGACTACTTGCCTCAAGAAGAAATCTTTCCATATCTTCTTGGATCTCAAAAACAAAAGCCCTCATGTCATTTGAAGAAATATGATTTTCAACATATTTAGCATGTCTGTTGTCTTTCATGTTGATCTGCTCATTTAGAAAAAAAAAGAATACAGAAAAGTAATGTAGAGAGGCTGACTTGATACAGCTGCACTCCAAATCCCCCAACATTTTAAATACTCAGATGACAACCAGACCCATTTAATGAAACTAAGAACAAAGTTTACGTATCTTTAAGGTCAAATTCCCAACCATTTCACAGTCAAAACTAGAAATATCTCACAGCTCATTATGCTCACTTCTTAGTCATTTATATGTTTCTCAGTGCTCCTAGAGGTACCACTGTCTCCRCCACCTCACCTCCTCCTTTTCCTCCATCTCCAGCTGCATAATTGCAACCATCCCTATCCTGGCTCTGCTCCTATGCTACTAAACTTATCTCTCTGCCTAGAAGCAACTAGACTAAAGAATCCAAATCCAGAAAAGTCTGCATTCTTGAAGCTTTCACACATAGTTCCCTTTGACTTGAACACTGTGAATACCAACTAATACAAATATAGAATTGCAAAGCCCTGGAACAAAGCCAGAACAAATTCTCTTTTAGTTTTTTTWWAAAAAAAAAACTCAATTTAAGATAGATGAAGCTTTCTACATCTGAGAAAAAATGTTAATGTACAGTGGCTGACTTGTATTATGTCTCTGTCTGTGAGGTATGAAGACAAAAATTACACAGAACTGTAACTAGAGTTAGCCAAAAGCCGGACACACTAACTTGCTCTTCTCTAACTAGAATTTATAAATAAGAGAGACTAATTTACATTTTATCAGAGAAAACGAATTTAGATGTCTGTGGATGCTACTCAGTTTATGAAGCCTAAAAGTAAAAGCAAAGGCCATCAGAAAAAGATATGTGCATAATTAACTTGATGTGGTCCTTGGGGAATAAATGGGAACCCTTGGCAATATGAGGAAATACTACCTCTTTATTATGTTGACTAAGAACACTTGAACACTTCTACAGTAYACACAGCTGTACAGTGAATACATTCTGCATACAGCAGAATGCATACAGCATTCCTACAAAGCACAGGAATTGGTATATAGCACTCCACGGTCACTATATTTAAATTCTCAACATATACTAGTAAAACATGCTTGCAGTTCTGAAGAAGAGAAGAGCACTACAGTTCTCCATCTTCGTGTGCAGGACAGTTCCTAAGTGGCCAGGATGACAGTGGAAGAATATTCTAAAATACTGTTAGTCTCTGATAATATAGTCCTGCTGTTCTCAGTATAAAGACTGTTAAAAAACAAACAAAAACAACAACACAAGGCAGAWTAAGTGTTCCTGAGCCTGTAGCTGGCTGTGCAAAGCAAGCTACAGAAACACCTGGGGATCACAGTGACACCTTGAAAGCTCTGTGTAGCAGCTGGTGCTAAGAGCAGGGAGTTAACTGCAGCTACCACTGCTTTTTTAAGAAGCCACTTAAGCCTCAGTAATGGGCTTAATGCACCTTGSAGGAAATCTGCAATGGGCACCTTGAGAAAGGACAGCACATCYGAGGGGGAAAATACCACACCACCTTACTCAGTGTAGTGTATTACTGCRTTGCTTACAGAAACTGAAATATAAACACTTTTCTGTGCTAAGGTATACTCTATGTAATTGGAACCTAATTTGATAATATGCAGCAATCACTCTTGAAAAGCATAAATAAAGAGAAACTACACATATTAGCTGGTTAGTAGTGATATATAAATAAAGTTTCTTACTTCAAGCATCATGGGTTCACAAACTTTTCTTCTGAACTTGTCAGTGTTCTTCCTTAGCCACATAAGAGCAGAGTGGGTGTCTCGGAATTTCCCTTTGAGCTTCTCTTCCTTCATGTTCATTACATTATCAAGTTCTACAATGCAATCAGCTATTCCTGTAATTTAAGACAGGTTTTTAAATATAGTCCATAGCAAGCACACAATATAGCTGGTCTCCTGCATGTAGCGACAACACTGCTTCAACAGCAAGGTTAACAGAAGATTAAGAGTTTATCTTCCCACAATCAAAATTCAGAACTACCATTTATCAGAAAGCAATTTTAAGAACTAATCAAAGCYTAAATACTAGAACAAAATGAAATGCTACTCAGAGTAAAACCAAATTTGTTGGTACAGCACTTACAAACAGCAAAAATATAGTCCTCGAGCAATCTCTCTTCAAATCTGGTTCAACCTTTTTATTTAAGATCAAAAATTCTGAGAGAAAATCAGCAGTGAATGCAAAAAAAAAAAAAAAACAGAAAAAAGAAATTTCTGGGATTTTTTTTCATGTTTGCATAAATACAAAGGTATAACAGCAGACCAGGAAGAAAGGATTTCTTATTCAGAAGAAAGGAAATTAAACACTTTTTATCTAATCAAAAAATAATAAAAATTAAAAAATAATAATCTTTCCACTCTAAGCAAGTTACCTCATTTTTTCCATACATCATTTTCTTCTTGAGGTCCATGAGATATATCATCAACTAGATATGTTAAAGTAAGGGTGCTTGGTCTCTATGACATATTAAGCACCAGACAGATGGGTATGTGCAGGTAAGAAACAAGCAAAACACCCCAAGCCTTACTAAGCTAAGCTTCTTTATTTTGGTTCTGGGGAAGGGCAAGGGCAAGGGCAAGGGCAAGGGCAAGGGCAAGGGCAAGGGCAAGGGCAAGGGCAAGGGCAAGGGCAAGG